ATTCACAGAATATATTGAGATGTATGCGGTGCCGTTTATGTGTAGATAGGAGCCGATATCTACTTTCCATCAAGTCGACTGTCAGTTTGTTTGCCATTCCAAGATGTACTCGTATGCCAGTTAGTAAACAAGAATAACGTCATTGGCGACAGAAAATAAACGCTGTGATCCTTATGCTATTCTTCATGCATGGTCATTCTTGAGGAGCAAGGTGTTATGTCTTCGGTATTAGGCCTTCGTGTCCTGTCAATGTATATTTATCTAATACCAAGCAGTTGGGGGGAAAAGGACTGTTAGTAATGGAGTCTAACTGACCCATTGCCAGCACTCATATCAGGTCGACTCCACGTGGTTCCCCCTGGAAACTATCGTAGTTAATTCTAGTGGAATTTATCACGATGGACTAAGTGACCTGCTTTCATCGTCACCTATCATCTCTCACTGGTGCCCCGCCAGTGTATACCGTTAGCGCAGGCGGGGTTACCATTCCATCATCATCTATTAAAAAATACCAAGCAGTTTGTGATGAAAGCGTGTTATTGTTTGAGAGAGATGTGGCAGTGAAGTTACAGGCATAACATCTTTTTTATGGGTGAAAACGGAAAGGTAATTCCGCCTATGCTATGTGCTATCCTTATGCGCTGGCGGCGAATCAGTGAGTGTGATCTGTGAGAATAAGTGCAGGTTCATTGGACTGTCATGACGAATTCGATAAGAATTAGCCACGATGGTTTCCAGAGGGAACCACGTGATGGTTGACCTGATAGAGAATATTGCTAGTAATTAAGCTATTACCGGCACCATTACTGACAATCCCTTCCCCCCTGATGTAACACCGTGCACTTCAGCGACGGTAATGCATGACTGATATATGACCACTCATAGTTATAGACGATTTCTACCATTTTCCATTAGGTGAGCGGTTTGTTAGCAGTTCTATTGATACAAAAATTATTTTTACTCAAACATGCTTGGAAATGTGAGTATTATTTTGACAATCTTCTTCGAGATAAATCAAAATTTCCGTACTGGCCAGATACATGCGAGTAGCGGCCGGCAAAAGTTGTATGAAAATCCATATCTGTCGTGTTTTGCGGCCAGATAAATTACTATGTAAACTCATATCTGTCCTGTAATTTAAAAATGGAATGACCTTTTACTTCGAAACATGGAGGACTTACCAAGGAGGTAACTAATAAAAGGTTTTATTTAAATTTCGAACTGGCTTTCAAATAGAAAGCTGTTTATTGAAAAAAAACCAAAGGAACATTATGGCGCTCGAAAAAATATTATTGTTCGTTATTCGTCATTGAACTTAAAAAGTAAAATTGTGTTTTTGATTTCCGCGCATTGTTTGAGAAAAGTACTATACAAGCCTTGGCCACAACTAGGTATTGATGGACTCACGTATGTGTGCCTCGGCAACGCCTCGGCCCACATTTGCACATTCATCCATCAATGCCTCAGTTGCTGGCCGCTGTAGTAATGTACTATAGAGTATATTTTTATAATTTTTTTTATGCAACTTACAATGGCAAGTAAGCTGACGGCCCACTTGATGGAAAGTGGTAACCGTCGCCTATAGACATGAGCAGTACCATAGGCGTAACAAAGTATACTGTTTCGCCCATGATATCCCCCAAGCGTTACTATTCCTGAGGACTCAGGTGTTACTTCTGTACCTTGTAAACTCACTGCCATATCCCACCCTTCAAACAGAAACACATCCATGCAAACACGACTGCTTCACGATAGAAACACGATTGGTACAGAGGTGCCCAAGCAAACGACCACTGTACAAAGTGGGAGACTTACATAGTCGTAACTCGGTTACATCTATAAAGATATAATGCTAAGATAAATATGTAAATGTGCAATAAATAAAATATGGCACAGTAGACAGAAATAAAAGAAGACGAGCAAAGTTTGACGCTATCTGATCACACTTATTCACCCCGAACATTACTAGAGATATATCGGTGCATACTGTCATTCTATCAGTCAATTAGGCTATTTCCTTATTTGGGGTCAGCCCTCCTTATACTTTTGCGGCATTCTTGACGGTTTTGCGTCAACGGCAGTTTCAAGCCCTGTTGGATGGTTCGAGCCCAAGTGGTCGGTGGTGGGTGCTTCTTTTACCTTCGGCAATGGCTATCACCTGTCTCATTACAAGTAGTTCACCCCGGTGTATCACATGCTAGTACCAACGTAAGCGACTTTCTCGCATTTTCTGCTGTATTTCGCGTACTTTAAAGGTCCCTCGGATGTATTTAAAAAAAATGGTAGCTAAACAATAAGTAACCTCCTCCCTCTCTCAGGAATTTAGTAATGCGCGCACATAATTAGTAAATTATAAAATACATGTGTATATTTAAATAACTTTTTTTTTGGTTGTTTTGTATAATTGGTACCGGTGACGTGGTTGTGTCAATGTTATTTATAATTTAACTTAATTGATAGATATAATGGTCGGCTCCACTTCTCGCCAATATTTGCATGTTTATATACTTTGTTTCTTTATATAGCAATCTGTAGTTAACGTTGTTGGTAGTACTATTAATCACATTTAAATGTAATCTTATTATAATTATATATTGTATTATTGTTTGTTAACTTATATAATATATATATATATATATATATATATATATATATATATATATATATATATATATATATATATATATATATATATATATATATATATATATATATATATCGACTAAGATAGTAGATAATATTTTATTTATTTTTTTATTAAAAGAAAGCTAATTATTTTTATTACAATTTGAACCTGTATATAATTTTAAACATATATTTATGATAGACAGTTGAGTTTTTTGAGTATTACAGCCATGAGGATTTTTTTTTTTATACAACTTAGCATGGCAAACGAGCTGACGGCTCACCTGATGGAAAGTGGTAACCGTCGCCTATATACATGAGCAGTACCTGTGACTAATAGCGTGTGTCATCAATTTAAAATTTATTATTTTCTTTGTTCAAACATAAGATTTTTTATGAAGCATGCTGCGGTTTATGGTAATATATGGTAAAGTAGCAATTGAAAAATATTTACAGTTTCATTTATGTTTCATTGTATTTTAATGGGATTATTGTGGTTAGAATATATGGTCAAAAGTATATACTTACAAGTGATCACGGGATTCTTCTATTGAGGTTCTAGGTATTTTATGGGAATAGGCATTTAATGGGAAACATAAACGTAATAAGAAACTAATGAATATTTTGGATTTATACAACGAATGATGATGAGAATTATACAACGCCATCTAGTTACGTTTTAAGTAAACTATGTCAGTACAAATCTATACACCTAGTATATTTTTATAGGAACTTTGCAGCTATCGCAGGAGCGATGACACATTATTACATGGATGACTAAATACAAACTTATGTATAAAAATTCCGCGAACAACAGTCCTTAAAATTATAACTTCCTCAAGTGAATCCAATGAAATCAAGTTTCGTAACGGTCTCCTCGCTTCATATGTGAGGTTAACGATGGGCTAACGGATCCATTTTAACTCGTTCAATACTTTACCGGTTATAGCTGTTTGTGACGGACTGTCTTCTGACGGCTTGTCTTGTTTAATATTAACACAGATAATAAAGAAGTTTTCCTGAAAGTTATTACTCTGTGATCTGTGAATAGAATAGAAACAGTCTTTATTCAAATTGAACTGTTTTACTTTATACCCATATTTTAAATGCGAAAGTGACTATGTCTATCTCTCTGTTACTTCTATACGCCTAAACTATTGATTCAGTTTTGATGAATATTGATAAAGAGATAGATTGAGCTATAGAGAAGGACACAGTTTACTTTTGGTTGTGGAAATAAAAATTGAAAAAGGTGTATAATAAGTTTGTATAGGGAATCAATCATTAGACAATTACCAGAAGTAGACTTTGTACAAAAGTCGTTTGCTTGGGTACCTCTGTCCCATTCGTGTTTCTACCGTAAAGCAGTTGTGTTTGAATGGCTGTGTTTTGGTTTTCAGAAGGGTGGGATACGGCAGTGAATTGACAGGGTACAGAGGAATAACACCTGAGTCCTCAGGAATAGCAACGCATGGGGAGTATTATGGGCGAAACAGCATACTCTGTTATGTCCATGGTACTGCTCATATCTATGGGCGACGGTTACTACTTTTCATCAGGTGGACCGTCAGTCTATTTGCCATTCTAAGTTGTATAAAGAAAAAAAATTAATGGATGTGAAACTCAGTTGTACGTAAACAAAGTCGCAGGCTTCAGTTAGTGACTTAATAAATTTAACTATTAAATTTGTAGGGTCTTGTTACAAATTAATCATTTCAGTCGCTGATTGTTTACTATTGAATGTAAATCTCTATAGATATTATAAGAAGGATTCTGAACAACCTGCATTCACTGACTTCTTGGAGTATATCTATGGTTGTCGATCTGTTTGGTAGGAGGTCGTTTTATATCGCTTATAACTATACGAGATCGCTATTTGAAAACCATTGTTTCCCATTGATTATCAATATAGCTGTATGACTGGCTACTTGTCACTTTATGTTATTTATTCTGCGAACTATATCGATCACTTCGATTGTCTATAGTAAATTATCCTTATTTCATTGTTTTTGGCTTGATAATGATTATTTTTATTATAATAAAATGTATCATCATCGTCATCATATCAGTCTTTAAAATTGCTGAACATAACCCTCACCTTTAGGCGGGTTTTGCCAGTAGTTTCCAAGCTTGGCAGGCATATTGGCAACCGCAGTTACGGTTTGGAAATGTTTTAAGAGGGATGCTGCTATCCATCTCTCGCTCTCCCTCAGTTGCGTCTCTTTTACCCACGGGAAAAGATCTATTCTATGTGGAAATCACACGGCATTTTAAAAAGTATCATATTGTATTAAATCAATACTATTTTTATATGTTATAATAACATACTTTTGTTTTATATTTCATATTTGCTTATATACTTTTTTTTGTTACAGACCAATTTCGGGTTATCCAACATGGCGCGACGGAAAAGTGTGTGTACAAAGTGGACTTTAGTTTTAATTGTAGCATTCTGTTCGTTTGTGTATTCGCGACCTCAAGAAGTGCTTTCACAATCACCCAATGTCCATAGTCCTATTACTAGTGTTGAAACAAACAAATCAACAGAAAACCCAATAAGGTACAGATATAGTAATAAAAATTTAAATTTAGATAGTCATAAGTTGCCTGTAGTTACTAGTCATGTAAATTTTATGCAAAGTAATAATGTAAACAATAAATATTTGAAATCCAGTGATAGTACAACTAAAAATAGTAATTCAAATGTAGATTACATAGATATAATCGAACCAACAACAAAAAATACTAGAAAACGTCGTTTAATTTCAGCTGTTTACACAAATAATCCTAGGCTTAATATTAAAAAGAAGAATAAAGGGACACATAAAGTAGAATCACAAAATAACAAAGGTTTAGAATTAAATTCTCAAGGTGGCAAAAAATCGCCTATTCGAAGAGTTATAACAAAATGGACCGATAACGCGAAACTTGACGATTTAGATTTTACATATGAAATGACGACATCAGAAGAAAATAATGGTAATATTAAAAACTCTCATGAACAATCGACTGAAGTTGCCGAAAAAGTATTTCATCTACAAGACGTCACAAAACTGTACAACATAATTTATAAAAAGAATAAACCAAAGCCACCACATAATGACGTACATATTTACTCTGACAATATTTATGTCACTGATAAATATTTTTCAACGACTACAATGCACCCCTACCCATTTGCATCAATTTCTGCTACTTCTTCTACGTCACAAAATAATGGCGTTCATATTTACTCTGATAACATTTATGTAACTGACAGATATTACCAAACTACTACAATGTCTCCCTATCAATTCGCTTCTCCTACGTACTCTAACAATGTTAGGCCCTCATACGTATTTACAACACCAACACCGACACCTGTCATTACTAATTTAGGTAATCCTACACCATGGCATACACCAATTAATAATGTTCATTCATATCACATTAAAACGACAACACAAAAGCCTTTCTCAGTAAAAAAACCTATAAAACATCAAAATCCTAACCACAATTATCCAAATTATGGTGACAATGATTTCGAAGTTTCAACATTTCAACCAACAAACGCTTACACAGATAGAATAATTATTAGACCAGAAGAATATAGTGCTTCGCCTGACGAATGCCCTACTATATTCCTTACATTGAATAATACATTTCAAGGGCAAGCAAAAGAGGCTTGTCCAGATTTAAATATCGCGGTTAATACAAATGTAATAAATAAAAACGTTGTTATTGAATCAGAAGAAGAAGAAGAAGAAGGAGATGGTTTATTTCCAGCTGGATTTGATATTCCCTTTGAAGACGAATCAGGTGATGAAGAAGGGCATTCTGTCTACGATTCTGAGGAAAATCAGGAACAAACGGAAAGTGCATCTATTGAAGAGCAATCATTAACTAATTACAATTCTGATCTTGCAGAACAATCAGAGCTATCAGAACCTATCGGTTCAGCTTCAAATCAAGCGGCAGCTATTCATAAGCCGGCAAAACCGAGTTATGATGATGATGATATTTTCAGTCCATTTTATTCTATTTTGCATTTTTTTAGACCTGCAATTAATGCCTTCAATTGGTTAGCAACAGTAAACCCTTTTACTTTCGGTTTATTTTCCATACTTTTGTCACCAGTTATGTTTATTTTCGCCGGAACATCTGGTGTAGCTGCTTTGTTTGCACCTTGGGCCTTTTCTGGAAGAGAAGCTAATAAGGTAGAACATGTCTATCATCCTCATTGGTATTGGGATAATGAATTGAAAACATGGAGTTTACATACCTTTGAAAATGATAGAATTTGGTCAAACAGATATCCTTGGAATAGCAGAGAAGATGAAAATGCTGAGAGTTCAATAAAGCCAACATTATTTTTCAAATTAAAGGAACTAATGAAAAGTACAATTCGAATATTGAACGATAGGTCGAGAAATAAAAAAACTAATCCAAATTATCGGAAAAATAAACGAAAAAAACGTGAAACTTGGACAATAAGAATCAAGTAGGTTAGACTTTAATCTTGACGGTTTCGTAAGTGCACGTTTTATTTTAATATAAGAACACACGGATTAACTTATATGTATTTTAGTCGAGAATACTCGACTAGTTTCGATTCTTGCTCGTACAAAAATGGGTTACAAGTTAAATTCCCTAAGTTAGGTATTAAATTCTCAATGCAGGATTATCAAAATATACTCTATAAAGCATTTTGCAAGACTATGAATGAAGTCAATTATAATTTAGAAAATACATAATATAAATTTTTAATATTTTTGCGCTTTATGCTAGTGGAATAAAGCGTAAAACTTACAAAAAAAAAAATCAGTAAAATTTTAATGGGAAGTAACAGAAAAGGCGATTGATAAATTAAAAAAATGTAGGTTGTTGTTGATTTTGTTTATATAAAAAAATATGACCTTATTACACGGGTATAAGATAATGTATTGTTAAAAAAAAATACAAAGCAGAAAATGGATACAAAAATTTCAGTTTGAATACTAAAATAGCATGTCCAACGTTTACGAATGGGACCTAAAGTGTTTGTTATATTTCGACATACGTTTCTTTGGGAAAAATATTCCGTTTTACTGACAGAACTTCAGACAGGAAGATTTCTTCAAAAGTATGCTAATGATTTCATCTTCACTCTGTATTATGTTTTGTCATTTTATAATTGTATCTTGCACATAAAAATATACATAGATACATTATGTTTGTGTATCTATTTTTGTTAAAAACGCGTTACGAAAAGTTCAAAGGATTTTGTATGTTTATATGCTGAATCGAAGTACTTTCAGAATGCCAATTAGTACAATTTACCGGATTTACATTTTAAGGTAACAGAAGTGTATTTCAACGAAAAAGCCAAAGGCATAAGACAGTACAAGCAAGGCGTGTTTGTAAAAATTCGAATTATTCCCTTTTATTTCCTCTTTTTTCTAAGACATTTTTTTGATGGTAAAAAAGAATTAAGATCATTTTTCTTTGTTAATACGAAGTAAAATTATTGTTATAATAATGTAAAATTTAGGAAAATAATATAATTAATGTATGGATGTATTATATATTAATTAATTTCATGTTTTAATTTTTTTTTTTATTAAAAATATACAACATGCATGTCGTCATTTTGTTTTGTTTTTGTATAAACGAACATTTGAGGAGCTTGTTATATTAATATTGTTATGTTATTGTGTAATATATAGTCGTATTTAGATTAAGTTAAAAAAATGCAATATTAGTAATTAGTAGTAATTTTTTAATAACTTGTATAGTAATATAGTAGCAGTCACTTCATTACCATATCACTCGTTAACTGTCCACTGGTGAACGCAAACCTTCTTGTTTATGTTTAAATAAAAAAAAATGTGAAAACTCACCTTCTGGAGATTTTTACCAGTAGTTGCCACGTTTGGCAGGCAGGTTGGCAATCACTTAATAGAGTATGAATAAAATCTTTTATCACAAACCCCATCGGTGATGTTAACCGACATTTTGCTTCTTAGATTATTCTTACATCCTCTGTAATCTGTAAGATATGTGAGGTATACACCTGAGTTCTCAGGAATGGCAATGCATGAGGTGTATCATAGGCGAGACAGTATACTTTGTTATGTCCATGGTACCTGTTCATGTCTATAGGTTACCACTGTCCATCGGGTGGGCTGTCAGCTTGTTTGCCTTTCTAAGTAGCATATTTTTTTTTAAAAAGATCTAGCGACCATTATTGTAAGACTGTCTCATACAAGTGTGAAATGTATAGCACTATAAAATTGTTTGAACATTTCAGCATTTAAAAATATCAATGTCTTTGAATAATTCCTTTCTATAATGTTTCTTTCCAATTCAATGATTAATTATTTTACTTCGTTAGTAGAGTACAAACTATATTTAATAATTTAAAGCAATTTAACATTTGTCCTTGGTACCTTGGACGATGGGACGTCCGCTTGTATGGGACTTCACCCTCGTGGACACGGTGGCGCCGTCTCACCTTCCAAGTACATCCAAGATGGCTGGTCCCGCCGCAACACACCAGTAGACTATCAAGCGCCGTAAATATTCATTCATCCCTTGGAAATGGATATATATTTGCGGCGTTTGTAGTTGAAACTCTGGGTCCGTGGGGCCTTGAGGCCATGAATCTTTTCAAAGAGATTTCACGCCGGCTGGTAGAATCCTATGGCGACCAGAAGGCTGGCCTATACTTTGGTCAACGCATTTCCATAGCTACTCAGCGTGGAAATGCAGCAAGTCTCTTAGAGTTTCTTTAATTTATAGGGTACAGAGGAATAACACCTGAGTTCTCAGGAATGGCAACTCATGGGGGGGTATCAAGGGCGAAACTGTATACTCTGTTATGTCCATGGTACTGCTCATGTCTATAGACGACGGTTACCACTTTTCATCAGGTGGGCTGTCAGCTTGTTTGCCATTCTAAGTTGTATAAAAAAAAGGTACCCTACCAGCTGGCAGTGATCTAAAAGATTTTTTTTTATCTTTAACTATTTAAATATATTCCATTGTAAACGTTTCATTCAACATTTTGTATATTTATATTTTAATTTAATACAATATTAATTTCAGATTTTATAGTAAGTATGTGGGTATTGTAAATATATCGTTTATAAAATTATCATTGTATCGCTGTACAAATATTAATACCCAGTAATCAATTTATTTCATATTTTGTTTATATAGTTTTTATGTAAATATAGCATTAAGTTAATTTAATTTAATTTATTTGAATATTATTAATAATTATTTTAATCATTTCATTTTAATAAGGAAACTTATTTGTATAGATATATTAGACACTTCTGTATAGATACATTAGATTTAACTAAAATAAATATCCCAAATAAGAAGATTTCATTTGTTCTGATGTTTTCATTATTTATCCTTGATAGTGTCGTAGTTAGGTGGCCTGACGTCCGACTCCCCTTCTGATGGTTAATAGTTTAGTACTGGCATAGTACAAGTACAATTATTTATATTAAATATTATTGCATTGCGTTTATATTCTTGATCAAATAATAGTCTAATTTTTAATTATTCTGTTACTAGTTAATTATAAACTTTCGCGTTGTTTACACATTTTTTAAATATACAATTGGGTATTAACACGATGTAAAAGCCTTTATAGGTAAATAGAAGCTACATACCTGACCAAAATCGAAAAAGGAATGTTGCGTTGGTTTGGTCATTTGGAGAGGATGGATGAAAGAAGAATTACGAAAGAGATTTATCGAGCAAGAATGAATGGAGATGTCGGTAGGGGCCGCCCTAGACGGACGTATGTCGACCAAATAGGCGACGTGCTGAAGAAGGGCTGAAAAGGGCCAAATTAAAAGTACCCGTAACCGACGAGCGTGTATGACAAGATTGATGAATGTGGAAGAAGCGAAAGAGGTTTGTTTGAATCGAAGCATTTGGCGTTCCATTGTTTCTGCCTACCCTAATGGAAGACAGGCGTGACAGATATGTATGTATGTATGTATACCTGCTTCTTTATTACCGACGTTTCAACTTGGATTGTACCACGTTGCGGTCACAACAGGACTGTAAAGGCTTTTACATCGTATTAAATCCTGATTGTCTATTTAAAATAGTTTGTTATTATTTAACATATGTATTTACAAAATGAAGTTTGACTAATACTCCATTTTGTCTGTCTACCCTAATGGGAGACAGGCGTGACAGATATGTATGTATGTATGTTTGACCAATAGTTATCTAATACCTATTATAATGATGATTTACGATATATTTATTGTTTGTTGAGGTGGCAAATAAAAATAAAGGTTATCTGAATGTAAATGGTTACCGTAGCCTATGAACACCTGCAATACCTGGGGCGTTACGCACGTGAAGCAGACCTCGCTTTTTTACTACTTTTTTGAAAAATTTCATCATAGTATACAAGTATATATTAATATAATGTTTATATTATATATTCAATTCCTATCCTCAGTGTAATAAATTAGTCTGTTGTGTAGGTAAATTATATGACTTTTCATGACTCATACAAAGCTATGCAACTGCATGTAACGAGTTGCAAAATTTGCATGAATTTAATTAAGAAAGTATGTCAGGACACAGGTTAATTCAGTGCTTGTAGTCAGGTATTAATTAAGTTAGTAGTTGTTTCAATTCCCTTAAATATCCTTTTATTGAAGCATTCCTTTTCTTGACATTCCTTTGTTCCATTCGTGTTTCAACCGTGAAGCAGTTGTGTTTGCATGACTGTGTTTCGGTTTGAAGGGTGGGATATGGCAGTGAATTTACAGGGTACAGAGGAATAACACCTGAGTCCTCAGGAATGGCAACACATTGGGGTATCATGGGCGAAACAGTTCATTTTTTTATTAGAAAATAAATTTTATACTTTTAGATTGATCTTAAAGAAATATTACCAAAGTCGGTTCAGCAGTTTGGTTCTTAAATCAAAATCAAGTGCTTTTGCCATAATTAAAATCAGTGTTTTCTTTTTTGTGGAAAAAAATCTATTAAGTGAAAGAATAATTTATTAATTCGTTATCATTAGAAATATATCGTAAAGTACACGATATGAAGGTGGACTTTCTTGAGGTTCTAATAATAGACTCTTGAAATAATTATTGGTATTTCTTTTTCCAGGAATTCCAGTGTACCAAATGAAACAGAGCCTCCGAAGACAGAGACATCTACACCAGTATCTTTGGACAAAAATTCCGCGAGAGACGTCAAGACCAAAGGTCCGGCTATTGGCGAGTCCATAAAACTTGTTGCAAATCAATTACTGGATAAACCTTCTAATAAAACTGGTGATGAGCCTATGCTTTCAGATAATAGAACACCATCAAAATTAAAGAGTCAAGTTATTCACAAACAGAAAATCAAAACAAGAAATGAGGATGCAGAAGAATCAATAGAAAATGGTCATGCTGGTATTGCAGTTCCAGTAACAATGGAGGACTTAGAAACTGAAAATAAAATAAGCGAATCTTCTACATCAAATGAAGGAATTTCTACATGGATACTCCTTAGTAATCATAATAGTAAAGACAATCTTACTTCTTCCACTGAACCTTCAAAACTTGAAGAGAATATTAAAAAACAAAAACCGTCAAATACAAAAAATAAAAACAAACAACGACCACAAAATAATAAACTTTCAGTAAAACGCCCTATTATTGGGAGTACTAACAAATCTGATTTGGTAGCTGGTGGCTCAGCAATAAATGAAAATGTGTACAATAAAATTAAAGATACAGTTTTGTCAAACGTAGAGAAAAATAGAAATCCTTCTACTCAACGGACTCCGATAGTAAGTACAACTACAGTACCCACAACAACCGAAATTACAACTATTAAAAAGGAAAGTGTTACTAAAAGTCCAACTACTATTTCACCTGTAGTAAAAATTACATCGAAACCAAATAAAAAGAAAAATAAAAATAAACAGAAGGTCAGCACTACATTATCACCAATTGATCATGAATCGGCTTTATTACCAATGGAACCAAAAGAACAAGAAATTGAATTAGAGATTAGCACCCCTGCAACTACAACTAAGAAACCTAAACGTAGTTCAAATAGAAAGAAAAATAAGACAAAGAAAAAGAAGCCCAGTCCGTCTAAAATTGAAAGTGATACTAAAGTAAGTGAAACGAAAACTAATAAGACAAAATCCGCGAAACCCGCAAAGAAACCTAATAAAGATGGTCCTCTTACTACTCAACTTTATAACTATCTATCTAGAGAAGTTATGCCATCAGTGGGAGTAGGAGTTATTGGTCTTGCTAGTTTAGTTGGCTTAGCTAGTTATTTCTTTTATCCATTCAGTACACCAGTTAGAAGAACTTTTGAAGTCGACAAAAAAGACGATTTATATAAAAATAATGACGAAGAATATGCAAGTGAAGGTAATGGACAAGCAGAAGAAGAAATGCTGGGAACAGTTCTTGCTGGAATGCCATCTCATTCTAAACAAAAACTAAATCCTTATGCTGCTCAAACTGTTCACAACAACAGATACGCAATGAAAAAAGAACAAGATATAAGATATCGTCACGTAGCAGCTAATTATGAACCTAACTATAATGTTCGATATCCTCAACAAAAAACTGGAATAGCACATGGAGCTGCATATCCTAAACCAATAAACTATAACCCTAACCCTCATCAATACGAAACTAGAAATGTTTATACCACTGAAAATAAATACGTATATGATAAACCATCTACATCTTATCCTGCTGTAGAACCCGTTTATGCTTCATCTCAATCTGCTTCATCAGGAGGATATCCATATGGAAGTGAAATGTCAAATTCCGTTGTCTATGGTATCAAACCAAATGATGATACAGACTTTAGACCTGTGTATCCCTACGAAGGTCAACATATGACATATCCATCAACGTCCATGGAATTAGATTCAAATAGTAATACTGCGGATTCAGATCAAAATAAATATACTGAAAATGATAATAATGATAGTGGAATAATTGATAATAAATTCGTAGTTGGCAATGTACCTAAGGAATTAGTAGATTCTGTTGATTCAGCCACTCCTGCGGTAGTTCCTGAACATGGGCCGCGAGGACTTCGAAGAAGAAGAAGACATACTGCGTATAGTAGAAGCAGTATAACAGGTTCCATCGAACAGCTTTTAAAAGAAGCAAAAAATTCACATAAAGATATTTTCATTAGCAATGAAATTTATGATAACTATAATTATTTGAATAAGTTAGAGGAACTATCCGATCCACAGCCCACTGATAATACTGTAACAACTCAACCAGATTCAAAAGATGTATTCACTGTTTTTGCTGTAACCGCAGATTCTACAAAAGAAGAAAAGACAACTGACACACCGACTACTGTGAAATCTGAAATAGTTGAAAGCGTGTCAACAGTACCGATAGGTAGTAAACCAGAAAAGTCTACGACCGAATCCGATGTGTCGAATGAATTGGATTCAACAACGAAAAATTTTAGAGTGTACGAAGTGTATTCACATTTGACAGACGTTACTGAGAAGAGTATTCCAACTCCAAAATCAGAGACACCTTTTGAAACAACAACTCAATTTAGAAATATAATGACAGAGACTACTACCGACTTGAAATCGGAGACCACGTCAACAATGCCACCTTCCCCGTCCCCAGTAACTGAATCCACGACAGAGAAGTGTAAAGATACTCCTGAATTAGTAACGTATCCTCCGCCAAGCCAACAAGGTGGCTTCCTGTCTTTGTTGAAGAGATTCATTGAATTTAAGTACAAGCTTGGATTAAGTATTTTGCAAACAACATCCGACAATTTGAAAAGGTATCTTGAAACAAGTGCCGGCACTGGAGCGAAACCGCACAAGTGACTTTACAAACGGGAATTAATTTAGAATAAAACAGTCTGATACTCACCGAGAAAATATTTAACCATTTTATATAAATTAATCCTTGATATAGTTTCTTTCAATAGAGACATATTAAGCATTTAATCAATTTAATCAAATACTTGTATCCGATTCTTTTGTAAAACAGGGATGTTAGTGTTTAAACATTTTATTAGAATTATTAAGGTAATTATATTTATATAATTTCAGAATGATATCCTCGGCAATGAAAGCTGAGGAAAGTCTACTGAATTTATATTGTGATAAAATTACATATAACACATGTTATAGTTTGATGGAATCGATTTACTTAATAAGTATTAGTTAAAACAGTTTCATTAGGTTAACAATGAAGAAAAAGCTATATTACAATTAGTATAATAATAAAAAATATTTGAGCTTAAAATTAACTTGTTAATTTGTTTTTTACAAATACAGACTTTAATATATTTTTTTCGTCACTCGAACCATTTATCTCCAGATCGCATTTTTTATCTATACTTTTTATAACTTAAGAGTATCGATCTAACATTGTAATTTATTGGATCGAATTGTATTAATTTTAAGTAAAAAGATTGTAAATATTGAAATAAACTTTTATATAATTTTGTATTTTTAGTTTACATTGCAGTTACTACAGATTTGTGCCTGCTGATTTTTAGAGCTTCGTACCAAAAAAGTATCAAGGAATGGTTTGACTTTATCCGTTCATCCGTCTGATACAGTCATCAACTTGAAATTTGGAATAATTATATATAGCTCACATATATGGTAATAGAAATAATTGAAAAAGTATTTCTATTTTCTTGTTAGGGGTCCAAAACGGATACTCAAAATTTTAAAATTGACTTACAAGGCCAAGTGGGATATCATATGAAAGGGCTTCATTTGTACATTATAAAATTGATTTTTATTTATTTTTATGATACGTAGTTTTTACTTATGGTTGAAAATATGAGAAAAAGCTATTAATTATTCCTAATTAGTTATTTATAGCTTACCCTTGACCGGTGTTTAGTTAAATATATTTTAGACAGATAGATAATTTATCTGCATTACTTACAGCACACAAATAACAATACAAATATACACATAATACAGACATACACAGCAAAAGAGATAAAATAATGAAAAACAAAAAAGCAACAAAAAAAAAATCAAAAAGCAAGATATATAAAACAACAATTTCCTTTATTCATGCGTGTGCCATAGCAACACAAAATGGTCACAACTCAGTTTATTGCTTTGCCCTCTGAAGAGCAAAACACTGATATTCTGTTGTGACCAAGTATTTTATGCATTTTCAAAATGATTTATAAAGGAGATTGGGAGTCGAGTCAACAAACAAATAATAAGAAAGCTCACACAAAAATAACTCTTTTCAAAGCAACTCAAGAGTTATTTTTGGTCTTTACTTATCACAGACAAACTGTGAATAAGAGTTATCTTCTTGGACACCTATATTCTATTCGTATTTGCCATCCCAGCTGTGCTTATTTGACAGTGAAATTACAAGGTACAGTGGAATAATGTATATAGAAATAGCAATATTTGAGGGGCACGTTGGATAACCCAGTATATACTGTGATCTCATTGACATTTATAATTTTTTCTTAGGTGGATCATCAGCATTCTATGTTACAAAAAAAAAAAAAAAAAACTAACGACATACACTTTTAAGTGACAGCAAAAAGAAGACATCTTTAGTTCTATTGGAGTTAAGTCATACAGATCTTCGTTGATTGTGAATCGATTTTGATATTTTTTTTTATACCACTGAGGTGGCAAACAAGCATACGGCCAACCTGATGGTAAGTGGTTACCGTAGCCTATGAACACCTGCAATACCAGAGGTATTACGCGTGCGTTGCCGACCCTGAAGAAACCTCTTTACCCCCCTTTTGAAGAACCCCATGCTGTAGTCTCTTGGGAAAACCTCGGCAGGGAGCTCATTCCACAACCTGAGTGTTCGTGGGAGGAAACATCTCTGAAACCGCGCAGTACGCGACCATTGAGGCTGTAGGACACGAGAATGAACTCCCTGTCGATGGCGAGCCGTACGATGGTAGAAAGTGGCTATTATTAAAAATAGTACATGAATTTCTACATTTATTTCGTATAAAGTGTGACCACTTGACCATAGAGTAAGTTTTTTTTTTATTGACAAATACATTACGTATTCTTCTGTAGACAAAAAAATATCACGCTGATATGATGACGATGACTTTTAAACTAGGACTTCATTCGGATGATAACTCAATCATCCGAATGAAGTTTTCTATTTCACTACCAGTATATCAGTGAAGATAAAACCCTAATCTCTTTTCATTTAAGAGTTTCCTCTTGTCGGTGCAACTAATTCATGCATCTTCCTCCAGCCAGCTCTATCCCAGGCCGTATCCTTTATCTCCCTATACGATATGACGCCTAGTGTTTCCTTTATCTGTCCCATGTAGTTATTCCTCGGTCTTCCTCTTCCTCTTTTGCCCTCTATCTTTCCTTCTATTATGCTCTTAAAAAAATCGTCATGTCGTATAAGGTGGCCTAGCATTTTGCCTCTTCTATTCTTTATTATTTCAATCAATGTTCTCTTCTCGTTCACTCTTTTTAGGACTAATACTGGACTAATAATAAAACCCTAATACTGGAGATAAAACCCTATAGCCATCTATTTATTTATTCAATACTTTACTGTACACACTAGTTATAAGAATATAACAGAGGTAAACAAAAGTACAAAGGCGAGCTTAACTCTGATTGAGTTCTCTTCCAGCAACACCCAAAGTGGAGAGGAGCATCAATGTCAGCGGATACAGCAGTGTACAATTTTTAAACAGACAAAATTAAATTAATTACATTTTATCGTACAAATACACATATACTTACATCTATGCATATTTTTTTTTTTTTTTTTTATACAACTTAAAATGGCAAACAAGCTGACGGCCCACCTGATGGAAAGTGGTAACCGTCGCCTATAGACATGAGCAGTACCATGGACATAACAGAGTATACTGTTTCGCCCATGATACCCCCCATGCGTTGCCATTCCTGAGGACTCAGGTGTTATTCCTCTGTACCCAGTAAATTCACGCCATATCCCACCCTTCAAACCGAAACACAGCCATGCAAACACAACTGCTTCACGGTTGAAATACGAATGGGACAGAGGTACCCACGCAATCGACTTTCGTACAAAGTCTCCCTCTGGTAACTTACACACACATACACATATACATCAATATACCTACATATATAGAAAAATAAATATATGTTCATAGAGATAGAAGATGCTTTTTAAGTCTACTCTTAAAAATACTTATAATAATACTAATATAAGGGAGGTTTTAGTAGTTGCCACGCTTGGCAGGCGGGTTGACAACCGCAGTTAGGCTTTGGTGATGTTTTAAGAGGGACTGCTGTCCATTTTTCGTCAACGACAAAACATGTAAAGGAATGGAAGTGAGATGAAGAGATGGATAGAATCGAATACCAAAACCTAGATTTTGTTTCGACTCTAGCTGCTCTGTCCCATAAAAAACCATAACAGGCAGAGTCAACTAAACTTACTCCTAGCGACATCTCGTGGTAACGGATGTTTTTACAATACTATCACAAATAGTTTTGTGACAAATCTGTCTACACTGTACTCGTAGTAACACAGTCCGTTGACAGATGTCGTTTTCATTGTATTTGATATCTAAAAATGTTATTTTCTCTGTTTCTTTAAGATTTATTTATTACTTTTTATTTAGAACTACCAATCAAAATTTAACACTTGTAGAAATCGGTTTCATTTGGTAGGTTTAGGTATATAAATTTATAACTATTTCTAGATTGGTTAAAGACAATGGTACTGTCTGCATGTGGTCCTGGTCGTTCCAATGTTCCTGGCATAGAATAGGCTACCCCTTCCTTTCCCGTGGCATTCGTAAGAGGCGACTAAGGGAGGGCGAGGGATGAGCAGCAGCGTCCTTTTTAAAACATCTCTAAAACCTAACTTGCGGGGGGAAAGGGATTGTTAGCAATGGAGTTTGACAGCCCCATTGTTAGCAATTTGCCCTATTAGGTCGACCTCCGCGTGGTTCCCCCTGGAAACCATCGTGAACAATTCTTGTTGAATTCGTCACGATGTGCTAACTGACTTGCTTCATCCTCACCTATCATACTTTACTGGTGTCTCGCTAGTGTATACCATTAGCGCGGGTGGGGTTACCATTTCATTATCATCCATTAAAAGAAAAAAAAAAATTGCTAATCCGCCTGTCAAGCGTGGCAACTACTGCCAAAGCCCAAGCGGGAGGCTTATGTTCAGCAGTGGACGTTTAAAGGTAACATAACGATGATGTATAATAATCGTATATAAAATTTAAGGCTTAATATTCGACACTAGTCAATTACTGTGACTCGCCGCATGACTTCAACCGGAAAGAATTGGTTTGATGTGGTTACTAATAATGACAGATATGTAATTATCGATTGGTACGACCTGAGGGCCTACCACGAAATGTTTTCCGAAATTTCGGAGCCAAACGAAACAGATATTTGATGTTAAAATTACATAATACTCGTACATGCCGTTTGGAAATATTAAAAATGTTAAAATATTGTTCCTTTGCACTTTTATGATAGGATGTATGACGAACGAAATGTTAAACTCCATTTATTGGTCTGATTTTGATATAAACAAAAACACGAAATTGAATCCGAAATTCCGGAATTTCATTTCATGGTAGACTCGCTGATTTGTGCTAACCAATTATATACAGTGAGTTATTGGATTCCTTAAAATATTATGGTTGAATATGTTGTTATTAGTATTTTTGCTACTTAGAATGGCAAACAAGCTGACGGCCCACCTGATGGAAAGTGGTAACCGTCGCCTATAGACATGAGCAGTACCATGGACATAACAGAGTATACTGTTTCGCCCATGACACCCCCTATGCGTTGCTGTTCCTGAGTACTCGGGTGTTATTCTTTTGTACCCTGTCAATTCACTGCAATAGTCCACTCTTCAAATCGAAACACAGCCATGCAAACACAACTGCTTCACGGTAGAATCACGAATAGGACAGAGGTGGTCAAGCAAACGACTTTTGTACAAAGTCTCCTTCTGATATATTTAATTAGAACTGATTTTTTTTTCTCTCAATTCGTTTGTATTTTTTTTTCTATTACTAAATTATTATGTAACATAATTTTGTCAATTGTAAACCAATTTGGAAAAATCTTTTTATCTGAAAGGATATACTTACAGATTGGTTCCATAGAAACTTTATTAAAATGGGTCTAATAGTTAAACGTTTATCGTTATCAATCTCCATCTACTAATGTCTATAGGCAACAGTTATCACCTTTCATCAGGTGCGCCGTCAGCTTTTGCTTAACTCTGTCACATTTTTATGTATTATTTGTATGTACAATAAAGTTTAAATAAAATAAATAAATATAAAAACTCGTTTAAATTGTTATGTAGGTGGCATTTGCTTGGGTAAAGAGGAATTTCGAAATTAATATCATCATAGTCGTAGAATACTGGCGGATCTGACAAATACTAAATACTAGCGA